GGTCTTCGTTAGCTCTCTACTGCTGACCACACCAAGGTATATAGTTAAAAAAAGCTCCATCAGAAAAGCTACAAGAACGAACACAAACAAATGATGTCAAGGATACACATAGACTGGCACGTGACCTCGTTCGACCAGATGTTTGCGTAGGAGGCGTTCAACGCTATACCAAGTGAATGCATGTGTTCCGTGGCCCAGTCGCGGTAGATGAACAGAACCTGAAAATGGGTGAAGACGATGCATTGATCAATCACTCCGTTGTGAAGCACGATTATGGCAGGCTGGAGAAAAACAAATAACTACACAATGGATCTACTATGTTGCGCCTGGACACAATTCGCTCCGCTTTGATTCTTTTAAGCAGGAACAACGATGGTTTCTACCGTTAAATTCCAAAAGAATTTCATATGCTTATGTTTATAATTCATACGGTTACAAATGACATCTGTTACCATACACCCCGTTTGCAGTTTCTTCTGTGAGTAGTACGAAGATCAGATTTTTCGTGTAGGAGCAAGAATGCATACAAAAAGCCTACCACGGAACCCGAACTCTTCAAATGCCTACCCTAGACAAAGCGAACACTATACACAATTCGTAATAGCCGAACGAGTGTCATGAAGCTTATCCCTGAGATTTTATCGGTGTTGCTCGCGGTATCTACAAGGGATTTTTGTGTCTTGTCTTTGGATTTTCCGACCGGGTAGTTAATCAAAGACTATGCTGTTTGAACATGACATCATGACCGAGAAAACAGTGAGACTATTTGAGGAATTTGCGGATTCATCAATGGATTCTCCAGAACGATATCGGATGCAATGTGTCAAACTGTACACACTCAGAGCACTATGTACTAAAACAATCGGCTTCCATATCTCTTCCAAATGTAACAACTGCCACATGCCTCAAATGAGAAGGACTCGGAAGGGCATCGTTCGGGAGGATAGGCTGTAAGACGAAATGCACCGGACTAGGTGGTAGGGTCTGCCGTCGCCCCGACTCGCTATCACGCCTGATCTATTGAAGTCTTATGTGGTCCGCCACTCCAATTTTCAGGATCATGTCTGCCGGTTTCCTCACAACACAAACATGACAATACAAACTTACAAAGGATCACATACTCTCGCTCGTTCTGTGCACTCAGACTGTAAACACCCACTCATCACCCTCACCAACATTCGCGGACTGAACCACAATGTTGATTCTGTACACCAATATTTCCGTTCTTCTTCTCCGCTCGCCCTTTCGAGAAGTAAGTTTCAGCTGATGTGGCTGAAGCTCCGAATTCCCCCCTTTAATCATTACTTTTGCGTTCTGTATCGTTCCCTCAGTAGTGGCGACTCTTCCATGTTTAATTTTCTATCTTTGAATAGTGAACACTTGTTTGCAACCGACCCCAACTGCCATGTCGCCATTTTGGGAGATTTCAGCGTTCACAATCAGGAGTGGTTGACATATTCATCTGCTGCTTCTCCTTTGGGGCGCGAAGCCGAACACTTCGCCTTGGTCAACAACCTGAGCCAACTAGTTGACCGCCCCACACGTGTCCTCGGTCGAGCTGGCGATCGCGCCCACATCCTCGATCTAATTCTCACTTCGATCCTTCTTTCTTCTCATATATTCGTACCCTCCGTCCTCTTGGCTCATCAGATCACTGTACTGTTTCTTGTTCTATTACATTTTCAAACTCTGTACCACCGACAACCTCGAGACACACATTCTGGCGCTACAACTCACCCGACTGGAACGGTTTCCGTGATTTCCTAGCGGATTATCCCTGGAACGATCGTCGTTTCTCTTCGGATGTTTCCAAATCCGTTTCCAACATCACCCAAGTTGTTCTTCAAGGTATGCATCTTTTTATTTCGCATTTTTCCAAACCCAGTAAACCCTAATCCATGCATGTGACCGTGCTGTACGCCTTGAACGCTCAGCTTTCCGTCGCTGGCCCATCCTCCTCTACCACTATCGCTTCGTGCAAGCTAGGAACAGATGCTCGATGATCATTCAGAGAACCAAAGAACGCTTTGTTTGCTGTAAAGCCTAAAACTCGGCTTCGTTCGCCACCGGCAGTCGAACAATTTGGTCCCTTGCCAAAGCAGCTTCTCGTAATTTCTGCCCTTCCAACTTCCCCTCTATCTGCAATTCCTCTGGTGATCTTGTATGTCAACAGAACGAGAAAGCTCAGGTTTTTGCTTCCCAGTTTGCCACCGATTCCACCTTACCCCGTTTTTCTACACCTCCACCTTCTTCGCTTCTTAACTGGCAACCCTTTTATACCTAAAATCAGCACTAGGAAAATCCGTCCAAAATTGCGTTCTCCTAACGCAAGCAAACCATTCGGTCCGGACGGTATTCCAGCCATCGTCCTCAAAATGTGTGCTCCCGAGCTGGCCCCCATTTTACATCGTCTTTCCAGCCTTTCCATCCAACTTTTTTCCTTTCCAACCCCCTGGAAACACGATGTGATATTTCCCATTCCCAAACGCGGCGACCTTTCTAACCCCAAAAATTACCGACTCATTTCCCTCACATCTATTCTTTCGAAAGTATTTGAAACGATCATTTTTGACCAGCTACGCACATTCCTTGAACGCGAAGGACTATTGAGCAACCGCCAGTATCGTTTTCGACCGCATCGTTCCACCGGTAACCTTCTGGCTCTTGTCTCACAATCCCGGCCAGCTCCACTCGATAACTACGGGAAAACACACTTGGTCTCGCTTGACATCTCGAAGGCCTTCGACCGAGTTTGGCACGAAGGTTTACTGGCGAAACTACCCATGTTCGAGTTCCCTTCAGCGCTCGTAGTGTGGATATCAAGTTTCCTCAGCAACCGAACTATCTCCATCCGAGTTGATGGGTTTCTATCCCAGCCATTCCCTGTGAACGCTGGTGTTCCCCAAGGTTCAGTACTTGCGCTCAGCCTCTTCCTTCTTTTTATCAATGATCTGCTTTCGCAAACTACTAACCCGATCCATTCTTTCGCTGATGACCTCAACCTCCACTGCTCCCTCTACTATCGCACTGCTCGCCATGCCCAAAGCAACATCGATGATGACCGTAGTGCAGTTAATGTGTCACTGGACTCTGATCTGGAACACATCTCCTCCTGGGGAAGTGCAACCCACGTTTCGCTCAATAGTTCTAAAACATCTCTTCTTTCAATTTTTTAAAACACCATTCATTCTCCCCTTATTTATATTTTGATTCCACCCAACTGCGTTCCACAGCCTCTGTTTCCCTTCTTGGATTGCATATAACTTCTTCTTTATGTTGGTCTCTTTTTATAACCAAGCTTGCTTCTCGTGCTGCGCTCAAGGTTGGATTTCTATTTCGCGCCAGACGTTTTTTCACCCCAGCTCATCTTCTCCTATTATACAAAGCTCAAATCCGCCCTGCTCTTGAATACTGTAGTCACGTGTGGGGTGGGGCTTAGTCTTCTTTACTTTCCTTTCTTGGTCGTATTCAACAAAAGGCCATCCGGCTAATCGATGATTCTTCCCTAACATCCAGTCTACAGTCGCTAGCCCATCGTCGGGCAGTTGCTTCCTTGTCCCTGTTCTACCGCTACTTGTTTGGTTTTTGTTCTTCGAAACTTGTCTCGGCAGTACCTTTTCATGCAACTTTTACCCGTCCGTCCAGTACACAAGCATCCAGTCATCTTTATCGGCTTTCTGTTCCCATGTGTCGTACCTCTCTACTTCAATCTTCTTTTTCCAACGAACTGCAAAACTGTGGAACATCCTCCCCCTTGTTGTTCCCCCCCCCAACTTACAATCTTGAACTTTTTAAACGCAGGATCAATAAACTGGATCTTACGTGAATGTTCCCCTACTCTACCCTTTACAGTATGCTATTTGTCCATGGGAATTTCTCCGCTTACTGTAATTCACATTGTGTAATAAAAAAAAGAATCATCTGTAGCTATGAGGTACATGAGTTGAACGTGTCTTCGGTTCGTAAGCTTCCACGCTGTTTCTGCATCTGTTATCAGCGTCCATTCAAACGCCCAGAATGTGCACCGCTCAACTCCGAAACCCGCGGCGATAACGTGATTGTAAGGTTTCAAAACATCCACAAACAATAGCTACCAATGACGTCAGGGGAATGCATTCTAATAAGTTACAGAGAGACTGTAATCACTGAGATTACGCTTTATCCGTAACGCCAAGTGCAACGAAACTTGATCATGGTCTATCAAAAATTGCAGAGCTCTATGCACCTAATTCCGACCATTGCTTACTGTTTTGGCTAGAGTCCATTACAGGAGTGCTTCGAAAATGCCCGGTGGGCTAACTGTGTGCTCTTTGCCCACACACATCATCTGTACACCAAGTCAGCGCTTTCAAGCTCAGACGTGATGAAACATTCATATGACTAAAATTAAACACCAGGGTGCATAGAAACAACAATGAAAAATGTTACACTATATTATGGCTTCATAAGTGATACAGTGTACGAAAATTCTTTTTAACTAATTGTAAAATTCAATTGCAGAAATACTCAACAAAAACCTTATAAAAATTCGTTTTTCCATGTATGTGCGCATGAGTGTATGAGCACACGACATCCTATAGCAATGGTGGTGGCGCTAAACTTACACTGCTTAACTGCACGACATGCTTTGCTCAAAGCGGACAGAGCAGAATCCAAGGCATCCAGTTGCAGATCCGGTGGATCTCCCTTGGACTGACTTCGCCGTGAATGCTGCTGAGCCACAAGTAGAGCACAGAAGTTTGCACGAATTGGATTATCCGGTGAATTGCTATCCCTGGTCAGAAGCCAATCCCCGAACGTCTGGAAAGATAGACCAAAAAGTATACATTTTTTAAGGTGATGGTTACAACAGCCCAGACTGGAGGAGCACGTGAATCATCAACAATCACGACTTACACTGACACCTGACTGCTCGCCATCGCCTTCGGACGGATCAAACACAGGCACCAGATGACACTGACCAAGTTCTAAATCATCCATTGTTCCGGCAAGCTCGTACACCATTGAGGGAACGTTGGTGCGACGACTCAGCGCACCAAAGAAACCGCGAGTACCCCAACCTCCGCTATCGTCTGCCAGTGGTACGAAACGGTGAGTGAAATAAGTTGAATTGACAAACGTGGGAGATACCGGGGGGGGGGGGGGGNCAGACTGACGCACACAGAACCAAGGAGTTTGAAATTTCAACTTTGAACTACATAATTTTTGACCATTGCATACATTTGTACACAGTGTTTTGCTCAGTCATTATGCTTTTTACATTGTGCACTCAGATACCAAAAACATTTAACTCACAGTTACTAGTGAGTAGTGGTGTGGGATAGATGTCTCCCTGACTTGATGGGAGGCTTTCGATTTGAAGTTAGTAGACTATCATCTGTGTCTCTCTTCGTTGCTGTCGAGCCAAATGAACTGACTGAATATCACGGAAGACGACACCTGAACAAACATGGATTGGCAATTTGGTTTAGCCATGGCATGAGCTATTTGGCAGGGTGGCAACACACGCCTTCGATGCGACGGGTTCGGAGTTTTAATCCTGGGCGGGACGTTGGACATGCACTATTGAGAGCGAAATCCGAGTGTTGAACATGTCCAGAACTCAAGATCTCGCAAGGAGTGAAATGCCCACTGAAGATTCAATGCAGACCATGCACAGCGGGCTGATTTTGACAAAAAAGAGCGAAACTCAAGTCTAGTGCTTCCGAGTGTATGGTTGAATCGATGAACTGAGGATTGTGCGTGTCGGAAGGATAGTCAGTTTAAAGTAAACAATACCAAATGCATCTAAACTTTCGCAATACTAAAGACCTTTTTGTCGGGACCTAACAGTCAATGTCTTTGGCCAGTCCAAAACCGACTTGGCACATCTCAACCCCATCAGATTCACTATTTCAAGTTTCAGGATTACTTGAGCCGAACAATATATCTTCATGATCAAGAGATTCACTTACTCACCTAGACCACGCTTCTTTGCGATAGACAGACAGTTCGACTGACCCATCAGTCCACGAAGGTGATACAATCATCATCTTCGCTTTAACTATCGATTAAACCGAAAAGAAATGCGTGGCTACTATTTCCATTAACTCAAACAAAAATATGGACTCAGCTTCAGTGTTCGTGTCTAATCCCATCCAAAGTGATTCGTGTTGAGTTTCTGTCCATCACTCACCAACACAAGCACAAACAAATACCGGTGTGTACTGTCCATTGGACTCATTCAAAGCATCAAACTTGGTGAGCGGCTCCGCGGCATCGCCCGATTTGTAGTAGATCCCCGGTGGACATGAGCCTGACGTGTTCTCTTCTACCAATCCACCAACATCAGCGTCATCAATTGCCGTAGTCCATTCAGTTGGATCTTCAGCCGGAGTGTTCTCGTCTGGGGATTCCACATTCGCGTATACCGAGCGTGATTGATATCCCACCGCATTCCACTTTGCTTTGCTACAAAACGAATCAGAACGTGGAGCGCTATGGGTGATGTTCGTCATGCTGTAGATGGTTTACGGCAAGTTGGGAAATGCTTCATGCACTAGCCTAACGAGTGTATTTTGTGTGATTCACAAACTGCAATAAAATGACAAAACAGAGGTTAGCAAAAGATGAACAAATGAAATACTACGGATAACATACGAAAAGGAGGGTCGTAATATGAGTAATAATAATAATAATAACGGTCCACTAAAATGCTTCCTACATGTAGGCAATAAGATTTTTCTTATAAAAAATGCATGTAGTAGCGGAGACTTTTTAAACGCAAATTAGACACAACTTAGAGATTCATTGTTTCTACAGTTATTGTTGTCAGGTAAGGGTCTTTTGAGAAACGGGTTAATAACAGCAAGATAGATGCGTACAATGTAGTGTACAACCAATCAATATTGGGTATACTACCGGATTTGAATAAGAATTCCTGACACCTAACGAATACAGTACAATCAGCGAAAAATTAGCGGTACCATCAATGAGAAAGTGGCTGATAAAAAATTAAACAGTGAGGGCAACTTAGACTTCTCAAATACAGTATCGAAAAAGCTGTGCGGAAACATTGGACCGATTATGATTATGAACAGATACATTAGATAAACTTTAGTGACTATGACGTCCTACTATATTTAGCACAATATAATGTGCGGCAAAAAAGATCAAGTTGTTGACGGTGGGTTTTTTTTCGAAATGATTGGCTGTGGACCCTGTACATTTATTCTACCCGTGTTTGGAACTATCATCGGTGCGTATTCGAAAAACAAAGAAACGTGAACTTCAGCGAATCGCCAGTTTAGTCATTACCACACTGTATTCAGTAAAACGATCGAGCATGAGTAAAACACAGTATCTATATTGACATACCGTTTTTCTAATTTGGCGGCAGTACGTCTCGCTTTGGCTTCCTGAGCTTTCAACATGCGCGTTGCGTCTGCTTCAAGTTTCTAATAAGATTTAAAAATGAGAATTGTGACTGAGAGGAAATCCGACAAACGAAAAAGTGATCAAGCGAGACGGGAATAGATATACTCGGCACTGTGAGAAGGGAGCATACAATTGGTGAGCATGCGAGATTTGACTCAATGTGTTACCGAGGGGTCCCGAGTAAATGCTCAAACAAAAAACGTTCACGCAGCACACCATCCGAAAATTCATCAATGGTCACTATTTGTATGCACAATAGGACGATAAACCAGAGTAGTTCTGATAGTGGCGGTGTGTGATGAGTGATGCGGAAAGCTTGATCGACTTTCACCAAGCGCAGGCAGAAAGCGCTTTTGACTACGGTCTCGTAGTTCGACCGATGTAGCTCGTTACCCAGGATGAAACTCTACATCATTACGATGACCAGTTGACGAATTTATGGTAAAAAAACAGCTTCATTTGCTTACCGAACTTTGTTTTCAATTAACACAGAAACAAGGATAAATGTGATTCCTCCGTGTCCATTATCAAGCCTCAGTATGCCCTGCCTATTAAACTTGAAAACCTTTATGGCAAATGTGTTAGTCGCAGTGACTGGGGTTTGGCTACGCTTAATTCGCTGTTTAAGCAGTTTCACCTCGGGCAGTGAAAACCTCTCAGAACCCCATGCTTTTACCCCTATTCGCGATTCACCTTACTGTATAGGAGCATTTACAAAGCTTAACTGTAGCCAAGGGATTCAACAATGACTAAACGATTTGGAACAAGTGTTCCAAGCGCCATCGC